GAAGTGGACTGAACAAAGACGTTTTGAGCAATTTCTATTGTTTTCATGCATGCTCAAAAAATGTGTGAAACTGTAATGGTGCCTTGATGTCAGTATGACTCAGAGTGGGAGTAAGATTGATCTAGAAAGAGAGGTAGAAAGAAAAAGCATGATACAAACACCAGATGTGTAGGAAGTAGCAATCCTGTAAACAATAAAAAAAAAAGCAATTTGAACCTTTGGTAAGATTTTCTTTGCTTTTTTTTTTGTAATAAATTTAATATTTCACACAAAATATCCACCACCTAACTGATTCTAAATCTAAATAATGAATTCATTTAAATCACTTATATCTAACAAAAGTATTTTTAAAGTAGAAAGTAAAAGCTTACCTTCATCCTTATAGTTAATAAGGATAAAACAGATGAAACCTTGATGTCAGTAATGATAGATGCTGAATGAACTCATGAGCTGCTCTTCAATGTCTCAGACTTTCAGACACCTCTACTTATACCCAGCAAATGTGCTGAGGTTTGACAACACTGGGATAAAAAAAACCTGAAGCATAACACATTACTTCATGGAAAAAAAAGATGTTCCCCTTTATCACATTACAAAACAAATAGTGGATTTTGACAAAGTTCTGCGTTGCTATGGAACACCCTTCTGTTTAAACAAGTTGGAAACACACTATTAGCACCTTCCAAAAACATTTGATCTTTTCTCACTAATATTCATTAGGAAACAACTTTGAAGCTTAAACACACCCAAGAAAGCCCTGTCAATTATCTATAACAACTATTGATGAAATGTATATATAATGGGTAAGTTTAGGAATTTTAATTATAGATGACTACACCAAGAAAAAAAAATCCAAATAATTTAGTTGTAATTACTTTTTTTTTAGTTGTGTAGTTAACACCGGTAAAACATCAAATGTTAAAAAATACAGGGGTCCAATAACTTCCTTTCTGTATGTTTCTGTTGTTCACATATTTGTCTTCTTTACTTTTCACAATAGTGATCCATGTTTTATCCTGTCTTTAATCTATCTCTTTAGACGTTTTTCTATTAAGTTAATTCTAAAAGAAGATCATTATAAATGTATAGAAGAATGTTTGGGGTGAAGTAGACTGTGACCTTAAATAAAAATGTAATTTAAAGCAGTCATGTCTTCAGAGCATCTGTAAAAATATATTCATATTAGTTTGTATTGTGATGTAGTGGGTGGATTAGACATTTAAATCAAGCAAGGTAAAAGTATTGCTTAACTAACTATTTATTAACTATTGTGTTTACCTTAACTGCTAATGACAGTCAAAGGCTAAGTAGATCAAGTGGCTAATTTCTGACCCAGTCTAACAAAGCTAACAAAGATCATTCTATATTTCCCTCTGAGTTTACACTCTCAGTTGTTGTTTAATAACAGAGTTAATTCTTGTATTGACATTACTAGCAGTTGAAACAGAAGTAAGGCCGCTACTTTTACCACACCTAGGCGAAGACTAATATTAATGATGATAGTAGTAACAGATAAATAAATTTTTTAGTGTTTGTAAGGATATTTCAAATATTTTGTCAATCAAGAAAAAGGAAGTAGACTAAATGAATAGAATAAGACATTAACTCCTGCTTATGTATATTAATATATACACATGAAGATATGTTGGATAATTTTCCCACTTAAAATATCAAAAGAAACATAAATACAAAATACTATTTCAATAGATTATCAGAGTAATTTGAGTATGTGGCCTTTAATTTTTTTTAAATTTTATATTTGATATGTTTTCTTAAATTGTAAATGGGATACAATGTGGGATAAACGTGAAGGAAAATGGATGGATTGAGGTATCGAAAGAGTAAGTAGGGAAAAAAGAGTTGGCAAATTACAGCAGACGTATTCACACACACTTCAATATATTCTTATCTTGTACAAGCATGTCAGTTGATATCATTCAGCCAAAGTCCATATGAACCATATCTGTTTACTTGTCTTAGCTGACCTAAATACATACTGGAAATAGGCTAGGTAGAAAATTGATGAATTAAATATCCTGCACTAAACATCTTACCTACAGCATAGTTCAAAGAACTTAAATTTGTCCCCTCCTGCTTTACATTCTTTGATTTGTGAAATACCATTGATTTTGTTAAACTTGCTGAAATAAGAAGTCCAGGATATAGATGGCATTTAGAGTTAAAGGTAACAAACTTACATAGATAAGGCTTATCAACAAAGATGATCAAACATAAAGCTTTAAAAGACACATTCAAATAGTTGTGTTGCTGCCTGTGCTGATCTGTTTAAAGACAAATGAATAGATTCAAAAAAAATAAAAAAATAAATTTAAAATGATTAAAGTGAATTTTATAACAAAGATATTTTTTTACTTTGCAACCTTATTTCACCGATAAATTCCCTTTGATTAAGTAACTAAACTTATAAAATCCCACAAAAATCAGATGGGTTCAAGTCTCTCAGAGAGATGACTGTTGGACTAAGGCTTGGTTTCTGGATTGGACCGGACTGGATCAAATCGATCAGGCAAAGCTCTCAATTTACTGATCAATCTACGTTCCCACCCTCACCTACTGTATGGTCATGAGATCTGGGTAATGACCGAAAGGACAAGATTGCGAATACAAGCAGTAAAAATTTGTTTCCTTAGCAGGGTGGCTGGCAGGATATATATAAACAGAGCTGCACACTTTGAACATAAATGTAAGGAAACTGGAGAGAAAGTGAATGCTCTATGTTCCTAGAAGAGTCCCAGCTGATCTGAAACTATTTTTTAAGTTTGCTGTATGAAATGACCCTGTATAAAACAAGAGCAGCATATTTATCCTCACATCAGAATCAGTCATCAGACAAACTTTAATAATCCCAGAGGGAAATTACTTATATCACATATATCTACCCTGTAAACAATGACTTCTGGTTGTGTCCTTAGTCATTTAAACTGAAAAAAATATACTTGAAATTTCCAATCTGATTTGAAATTCAGTGAGGATCCAAGCTTCCTCAAGCTAATTTATTCTATGTATTTCGAGTTGGAATGTTATGTTGTCTAGTCTGATCAAGGTCAAAGCAAGATATGTCTCTGACACTCAATGCCCCTATGGATCAATACCGCATAGAGATTCTACATAAGAATTCAGACCTTTCTAGCCTATTGACAGTTTGGTTAGGAACTGACCCAGTTGAACGAATCTTGTCTTCTAAGCAATTGATCCATAACCATCTTGTCTTTCTGACTCTTAGAAAATGCCCGCAACTGAAGTTGTAGACTACTGAGATCTCATAGTAAATTGAAACCTAGATCTAAATAACTAATTTAACTGCAAAACTGCTCACTATATATATATGCCATAACCACATGCAATTTTATGATTTCACGTTCAGCTTATTTTCGTAGAATACTCACCAAATCATTATTATATGATTTGATACTATGTGGCAACAAGTCATGATATTTATTTTGGCTATTGTTCCTGCAATCTTAAAACTTGCTTTTCATTATTTCATGATTTTTAATTCTATCTGGAATAAAAATAACTTAACACAGTATAACTGGATTCCCTATAGGTTCTACGCTTTTCCATGATCAGTCTGAACTCTTTTTTCGTTACAACCAGAGATCAGAAGTCAATATTAATGTGTTTTATATAATGGGAATTGAGTATTTACATGGATATGCCTATTTTTGCTTTTGTTGCTGTTTCTTATTTTATTGTATTTTTTATTTTACTTGAGACTTTTCATTAGGTCAGGATTTTTTTTAATTCCCTTTGTGGAATAAAAATAAACTTAACACAGTATGTAAACTGGTATTGCTTAGTGTTCTGCTAAAGTTTCCAGATAAAGTTGTTATCATTTAAGGAACTGTTCTTTTTCCCCTATCCTTTATCTTTTCCCCAAGGTCAGATATGAAGTCAGAAGACTTCAAGATGGTGTTTGACCTCATAATCCTGAATTCCCTCCCATTGTTTTGTTTTAATGTGATCTGTAAAAAAACTTGAGAAAAATATTGAAAGCCAACAGTAACACCAATTTTATTAAATATCAAATATTTTTTTTAATGAAAATATGCCTCAATAGTGTTGTAAGTTGTCTTTTGTGATTAAAGTGAATGCAAATGTACCAGGAAGTGTAACATATTTGATCATGCTGCACGTGCATACTACATTTGGATTAAATATTAAACACTGGGATGTTTATGCAGTTCAAAGGTAAGGCACGTGTTTAAGTAAACACAAAATACTTGGTGGCTAGTGACTAGTTACTTTTACTTAATTACAGTTACTAGTGAAACTTTTTCCAAAAAATATTATTTTTTGAATACTTTTAATGCATCATATACTTTATTTTTACTTGAGTAATACTTTGATATAGCATCAGACTCACTTCAGGGACACTCTCACTTCAGTTAAATGAATGGCTACTCCATTCATAGTGAGCAACTTCCTTGAATAACAAAAAAACGTTTGTTCAAAGGGAGCAGTGCTACAAGAAAAATACACATAGTTAATGTTTATATCAACAAAAACCTAACACGAGCTTTGGAGATCGAGTAATGGAATAACTATTTGTCAACAGACTCAAGTTTTATTTTTAAAGAAAAATTGGTATATTTTAATTATCTATTTCTAGATCGATCATGAACTTTTAATTATTAAACTTTGGTCAGTCTTTATTGCCTTTTATAAATCAGATGCTTTACTCAGTTCTTGTAGCCTTTTTTTCCCCAAAATACTTTTTTACTCTTATTTGAATAATTTCTTGGATGGGTTCTTTAAGCTTTTATGGTATTATAAGATATAGTCACAAAATATGTTTTATGAGCTACATTCGGACTTTGGTAAATTTTTGATTTAGGTCTTTTCAAAAGATAAGAAATCAAGACAGGGGATTTTGCTTTCTTAAATGCACGTGCCAGTTTCCTTGTTTGGAGGCTGGGATAGAAAGTATAAAAGGCCTGATTTTTTAGTCCTCCAGCATATCTCAAATAGGCTACAGACTGATCTTGATAGGGTTGTTCTGCTGTAAAATTTAAGGAAACTGAGTAACTTCAATTTCTCTTTATGAGTCTAAGAGTTTAGTTTAATGCTAAACTACTACCCTGAGACATCTTCATTGTTCTGATTTTATTGAAGCTCTTTATTATCTTTGACCATTATTATTCAAACTATGAAGATCCTGAGTTTGCTCGCTCTTCTTTGTGCCTTATTAGCTTTGGGTAAAGCTGCTGGTGAGTTTTGTTTGCATGCATATCATTATGATTTTTTTTATTGATGCAAATATAACTTACACCACACATTTGATATTCAAATACATTTCACAACTTGTATATTTTATCTTGCATAATGTAGTTTCTGTGCTATATGTAATGCAGATTTTCCAGGTCCTACAGATGAGGTTGAGAGGGATGAATCTCTCACAGAAGGTAAGGATACATGGTTTGTACCTTTAGAGCGCCTTTTCAGGCCACAAAACTTCACAATACTTCACAATACATTCAGTTATTCACCCACACACTGATGGTGGGAAGCTACATACCAATCTGAGAACATTTAGCTAGTCCTTACTTTCTTTGTTGCTGGTTGGTAGGTTTAGGATCAATGACTGAACATCAGGATATCAATGGCAGTCAAAACATTGTCCTCATTACATATATCGGCAGATGGCCACTCACACTGAGCCTGGTTCTGCTGGAGGTTCTTCCTGTTAAAAGGGACTTTTTCCTCTCCACTGTCTGTACAAGCATGCTCAGTGTGAGGGATTGCATTTGAGTCAATGAGTCGGTGCAATCAACTGGTTTTCCTTAGATAGAAAACTTTGAATCAATTGGACTGTATGATCTGGTTGAACTGTAAAGTGCTTTGAGATTACTTGTGTTGTGAATTGGCACTATAGAAATAAACTGAATTGAATTGAATATACAGTAGCAAGATGATTTATAAATTATTTTAGGTTATGTTCATGATCAAATGTGTATCTTTCTCAGACCCCAGCAAGAAATTTGAAACTGAGGAAAACCTTTTAGATGGTAAGATTTTGTTTGACATTTATTTATAATTTGCAGAATGTCTGATAGGTACAGTAAGTACGCAAAAAGTACATTTAACAATATAATTTTCCCCAACTGTGTAGCTCCTCTTGGGGAGAATACTGGAAACAACACAAATGTAGAAGGTTAGTGGATCTTTTCTTCAGTTAATTTCATAATATATATATATACATATATATATATATATATATATATATATATATATATATATATATATATATATATATATATATATATATATATATATATATATATATATATATATATATATATATATAGATATATATATATATATATATATATATATAGATATATATATATAGATATATATATATTATTGCATTTGAGTATTGCATTTGATATATATATATATATATATATATATATATATATATATATATATATATATATATATATATATAGATATATATATATATTTATTTTTTTTTTTTTTTTTTTTTTTTTTTTTTTTTTGCTCATCTCTCCCTCCTCTGTTACCCAGAACCAGTCTTTGATTCTGTGACTGAAGAAATGTATTTGAAAGGTAGGTTTTTGTTTTGGTTTTGTTTCTGACTAAATCACTTTGTTTTAGCAATTATCATCATTCTTAATCAATGAGAGGCATCCTTAATCATGGATGACTTTAAATGAACAATATCTCATGAAAAATTCATAACATTTAGAAAATAAAAACAAGCAATGTGGTACAGGATTATCAACAGCACAAGGACATGATTAATTCCAGTTAACTGTACCATTATATTAAATAAGTTCTAAGATTACTTACAATGTGATGATACCACTGTACATCTTAGCTAGCTGCATCCCCAGTATTTAGTATGTTTGGACGTACCTAAAATTGTGCATTAAGAGCGTATGCAGTCTACAAATTATCAGCTAACTTAACAATATGTATATTTACCTCTCTTTCCTCTTTTTATAAGGTGTGTTGTCAACCAACATTGGAAAAAGAGTTGGTTGTCCAATTTTTGGTGCTCTTTTAGTGTTTTGTAGTACAACAACTCTCAATAATGACAATGTCAAAAGTAAAGCCATCATGGGTCTGTTTAAAACAGGTAGGGTGATACCAACTTTGCAAGGAGAACGGTGCACAGGGGATCATTGGTTAAACTTCAAACTTTTAATTGGGACATGAAAATAAACAAATAAGGAAGTAATTAAAGAAGGTTATTTTTGTATACCACAATAGTGTGAGTTATGCACTTGATTTTATCTGCTTGGGCAGCCTTAACACAAAAGTTTACCAAATTACGCAGTCGAACTAAAATTTACACCTTTAACACATGCAATTGGTCCCAGTTGATCACAGGATCAGCTCTTTTCACACATCCTGGCAATGATGGAAAGTTTACATCTAATGTCCACCGCAGGTGGCAGTACTGCAAGGGCTATAGCTTTAACTGATCAAGCAAACCCCTAATGAAGAATTTCAGCGGTAAATTTCTAGCTTCTATGGCCAGTTAGGGGGCACACCAGTGTCACCATAAAGCTGAGGGGGAACCTCACTCCCCTCCCTCTATGACACCCTTTGTGACACCTTTTTTAGTATACAAATGAATTTTGCAGGTTCTATATTTTAAATGATTTATGTGAGACTCTCTAAATTTGTTATCAGCTCTAAATGGAACAGCCCATCGTTCTGGATCCTGTTCTCCTGGATGGACCCGGCTCAGGGGTCGTTGCTACCATGTCTTTCCAATTCTCTCCACGTGGTTTAAAGCTCAGGTGAACATATTTGCTCATATTTCCTCACAAACTGCTTTCTGATTGCATATGTCTGATGGCTCTGGGGTTTTTTTTCGACTTCAGAAAAACTGCAGGTCAATAGGAGCCCATCTCGCATCAGTTCATGACTTCGACATGAATTATCAGCTGCTAAAGCTGATAACAGCTGCAGGTCAGAGCCGCAGGGAAGTGTGGATCGGAGGCTCTGATTTACACAGGGTAAATTCATTGGTGCACAGACTTTGTAAGGCCATTGAAAAAATTCATTCAAACTGTTTATTTATACTTTTTTTTTTTTGCAGGAAGGTCGTTGGACCTGGGTGGATGGAACCCATTTTGGCTACACAAACTGGTGTCGATGGGAGCCCAATAACTTCTTTAATAATCAGCACTGTTTGGAGATGAACTACAGCCGTAAGTAAAGAATCAAACTGAAGTGTGAACTTCTTGACGGACAAAGAATTGTTTACAGCTACAAAGCTATTACATGTCAGATCTACAGTACAGTTTTTTGTAGATTTGAAGCCTCAGAAATTTCTCCTAATTGATATGTTTGTTTGTTCTGCAGGTTCAAAATGCTGGGATGATAACAACTGTTACTATGAAATACCATTTATCTGTGCCAGAAACTACTAATGACTTTGAGTCTCATTAATAGACGTGGATCAGTGTAGGTTTCTCTTTTACAGTATCGCCACCTTCACTAATAACCGGAGAGACTCTTTGTATTTTGTGTTTCTTTTAATAGTTTCCAGTTCATGGCAAAAATAAAACAAATACCTTTGTGAAGATAAAATAAAGGAAACTGGGAAATCTAACTTTTGTTAGATTTTCCAATTTCCCAGCAAAAAAACTCTAAATTGCAGAGAGATTTATATACTTTATACTTTAGATTGAATACTCTATAAAATGTATGAAACATAACATATTGGAATTTAATTTTAATTAAAAAAAACTGTGGCTTGCATGTTACTCTTACTACTTTAACATTTTCCCATTTTGTCATTTCATGCTCTAAAGTTATACTATTAAACTTTCACTTGCTAGAAAAACTAAAAGTTGTGTGTCACTCTGAAGAAAAAGGAACATATTACACAGTTTTAAACAGTAATAAAAAAGAAATACATTTTGAAAAATAAGTTAACAACAGTGACTTGAATGATTTATGTCAATAAGTTACAGTACATTGGATAAGTGATTAAACAAAGCTCAAAGGGCTAATAAAAATATAACTTAACTTTGCTGTTTTGGGTCTTATAAACGGTATAATGGAGTTATTAGTGTAATGAAAGGCAAACATATTTTTTGGTACTTTTTATTATCTCTTTTGGGATTTCTCAATGAAAACATCAATTTCACTGTTGCTTTGTTTCCTGGCTAATGAATTAATTAATTAATAGGAATTTATTTCAGACAATTTGACAAGCAATAAATAAATTAACCAAATACACAAAAGAGACTAGTTAACATCAACCAAACCAAACACCAATTTCCAAACCAACTAAATTCACATGTATAAAAATAAAAACAAAACCCTCAACCTAATAAACCTGTCGCCAACATCAGATACACTTTGTGCTTCTGGTGATGAGCAAAAACCCATAAGTGGATAACGGCGGAGATTGAAGCTCATGTTGTAAATTCAAAAATGTGCTAAAGGTTAATTTCCTCTAAAAGATTAAGTTTCATTTTTAGTGTACTTCCTGCAGCTTCCTGCTGGGCCACCAAGTTCCTGATTTATTTCTCTGTTGACATCCTGTGTTGACATGGAAACATGCAAGTCAGCAAGACAGACATTCTAACACTTATGCCATTGCTTTATTGTAAGATCCATATGTGTAAGATGACCTGTGAAATTCTGTTATTGTGTTATTTGTAAATTTACTGGATAAACTGTGTTAATTGGGACAACCTGGGGGAGAAAAAAAGCCAGGGACTCACTTTTTGTGTGCTATCTTTGAGGGCTTAGATCAACATGTGGTCATACAGACCTAAGGTAAAATCTTTCTCTGTATAATGTGCTGAATATCAATGATTTTCATGTAATTGACTGAAATAAATTATGCAAATACTTAAAATTGTTTATCCTTCTTTTGCATTATTCTGAGAACTTTGCCTCACAAATTAAAGAACCAGGAACTAACAATAGTCAAGACACAAACACAACTTTTTGCCTCTTATTTATTATCAGAAAGTAGCAGGGAAATTGATCACAGATAAGTCCCCTGCAAACATTTAAAGATGAATCAACTGGATTTCTTTCTAAAGGGAATGAACACCATATTACTCTTTCTTGACTGTGCTGTCCACATTGAGGACTGTTTATCTTAAATGGGAACGCTGTTTTTTTTACATTGGGCCCTTGATTTTACGTTATTACATCATGTTCTACTCACCCATATGAGTTTTGTGTCATTTGGAGCCGTTCTGAAGATATTTGGTTAGGTTATATCCAGGTAAAATCTGCCTATAGGCAATGACTTGAAGGCACAAACTAAACTGTTCATAATTCATTCTTTATGCATTCATCACATGTAGGCAAATCACTTTCTCCCAGACATCCGCAGTCACATTTTTTTTATATTTATATCGTTTAAAAACAAAGCGGAGTGTAATAAAAGATTGCACTTTTAATTTTGTTTTGTGTGTGGGAATGTATGTTGTGGACTTACTTGTGTAGCTGTATATGTATTTATCTGTAACAATTTGGGAAAATTCCATCATATCTTACTTGGCTTTGGCTCCATGTAGACAAAGGTTTTAAAGAGTTACAAATGTTTTCTTTTGTTTTCTTTTCAACTGGTTTTATTTTTCACAATTGTTTTTATATTCGTTCTAAAAGCAGCTCCACAGGCAGCCCCATGCAGGAAACACACAGCCACGTAGACAAGCTCTGACCCAGCTTACATGTCAGAGGATGAAGAGAACACATACAGTTAGTCACAGTAAGAGAAACAGCAATGCACTGAAAAACAGGCCAAGCTCCAACATCTATAAACAAAGGTGATGATGGCAGCAGTAGAGCTGATATATCTCTCCAGGATGGTGTCACAGCAAAACAAGAACATACTACAGTAGATGAAGCTACTATAAAAATAGTGGAAAGAGCATAGCATTAGAGATTGAACTAACACATTTTGTAGAGTGGGAGAATAGAGATTAAATAGAATAAAGCAGAATGATTAAAAAGGGGCCCCTATGTCCTCCAGCAGTCTAAGCCTATAGCAGCATATCTACTGATACATGACCAACAATACTGTGTATAAGTTGAATTTTTTTAGACTTTTAAAACTTTTTGCAAGATTTCAATATTGTATATTTGGAAAACATCATTGAAGTTATAAAAGGTGAACTGCCAAAAAATCTCAATGCTCAAATAATTTGTTAAAAAACAAAAATATATAAAACAGGGAGTGGCGGCCTCAGAAACATATAATAACATAGAATGTTTCTAGGACTAATGTAAAACAGTTATACAAATCTTTTTTGTGTTTTGATTCCAAATATTCATCATCTGTCAATTCCGTTCCACAATTCACAAGAACACCCAGGTTCAATCCGAGAGGGAACTTTCTCTGATAGTGAAGGCGATATCTTTCGTCAACCAGGACGATGACAAAAATATTTAATCAACGGCCCTTTATTCCCGTGACGACACATCCACGAGACAATGACGCACAAAAATTGTTTCCAGAAAATAAAAATATGAAGACAATAAAAAATGATTTTTGTTAACGGGTCTAAGACCAGACGACATTTACAAGCCATGGACGAATGGATATTAAAAATGTAATTGTTTATAATTATTTGTATTTGTTATTATAACTGTCTCTTGAACTTCATAGAAGATTACGCGTTGTTGCCCTTTTTGACCCTACACGCCGCCTGTCCCATAGTGGCTCGCGCCGCTCAATGAGTTGTAGCAGAGGGCTGATAATCCTAGAATCACTGGTAGTAGTTAACCGTGACTAGCTCAACTTCACAGTCTTGGTGTTGGGCTCAGATACCGGTTTACAGTCTGTTTGAAGAGCTGGGGAAAAACAATGCATTTCTAAAATGTCCATTGATGATGAGTGGGAATAAAAAAGGCAACATATTTTATCAATATTACCTTGTTTAGTTGTGTATTAATTCAATACTTTTCATTCATTTCCAATATCTGTATATACTGTAGTACTGATAAGAATTATTGAAGTGAGATATAGAACAATTTACTACTAAAAATGATCTTATCCAAGTGATTATGCAGATCTCATTAACATTGTGTAAAATGAAACTATTTTCAATCTAATTATGATATAGGATAAGGATTAACACAACTTCTAATTTCAAAGTAGATTGGACACCTGAAGTGTATTTTCCTAATTTTAAATGACTAAAGACACAAGCTCAAATCGCTGAAAATAGAGTTTGAACCTGTGCAAGGAAACCCCATTGGATTTCAAGTCCAACGCCTTAACGTCTCGGCCATCACAGCTATTATACAGTCGGATTTTGAGCTTGATTACAAAGCAAAATGTAGAGATGAAAAGCTATGATGAAACAGTTTAGGGAGTTTAACTTGAAGGATGCAGTAGATGAAGGAAGTTGAGTTTATTATATAAATACATCAAATTTGAACCATCTTCACCACATACCCTTGTTTTTGTGTTTTCTTTCATTCTGATTCAGCATGGAGTGCAGGCTCTCATCAAATCATCTCAAAATGATGAATAAAGTGTTTTATTTTCTTCTGATCGTTCATCAGTATGATCAACCCCGGTTCAATCCGAGAGGGAACTTTCTCAGAGAGTGTACTTAAAGAAGGCGATATCTTTAAGCATTAAAAGAATTTATTCCAGTCATATTTAACAAAAGCATTGATATAAGCTCAAATTACAGAGGAAGTCTACTACCTTCTCTCTTAGGCCTTTTTTATTCTTGACCATAGCTGAGGAAGCAGCAAAATGTCGAAGCCCTTCTAAATGTTTTCCAGTTTATCTAATAATGCCACAACTAGCAAGCAGGTGCATCTTCCAAAGTCTCCAACGGCAGTATCCTGCCTTTTGCCCTTACACTATAACATTACCATATAAGGTGATACTAGACCCTCTTTGGTCATCATATGTCAAAATTGCAATGTCCAATGCGCAATGTTGGCTGACTTGCACAAAAATCAAAGAGATAGAGATCCAAGTAATTATACAGATCTGATCAACATTGTTCAAATTGGAATTATAGTCGATGTAATTATGATTTAGGATAAGGATTACCACAACTTCTAATTTCAAAGTAGATTGGGCACCTGAAGTGTATTTTCCTAATTTTAAATGACTAAAGACTCAACCTCAAATCGCTGTGAACAGGGTTCGAACCTGTGCGGGGAAACCCCATTGGATTTCGAGTCCAACGCCTTAACCTCTCGGCCATCACAGCTGTATCGATCACTGATGTTTTCTGAAATCACACAGCAGACAAGACACATATCTATGCAGGTCAGACAGGGAACGGAGTAGGAGACAGAGAAAAGGCCTCCTCCTCCAACGAGAGCCAAGTGAAAAAAACAAAGATCTACAATAGCAATAAAATAAGACTAAGAGGACTGGATGGGGAATACTGAGATGATACATTTCTAAAATGTCAATTGTTGATGAGTGGGAATAAAAAAGGCAAGATATTTGATCAATATTAGCCTACCTTGTTTAGTTATGTTTTATTTCAATACATTTTTCATTCATTTTCAATATCTGAATATACTGTAGAACTGATAAGAATTATTAAATTGAGATATAGAACAATTTACTTTGAAAAATTATATGTTATCCAGGTGGTTATACAGATCTCATCAACATTGTTTAAATGGAATTATATTAAATCTAATCATGATATAGGATAAGAATAAATATAACTTCTAATTTCAAAGTAGATTGGATACATGAAGTGTATGATCCTAATTTTAAATGACTAAAGACTCAAC